TTCGGCGAGTTAGTCGCCGTCCTCAAGGACGCGTGGTCTGTGTAGATCACAAAGGGCGTAGAGCCCAGAAGGTGAACACGGAACTTCACAAGGGCATATTTCATTGCCAGGAGCTCCTTGTCATGGACAGGGTAGTTCCGCTCGGCGGCTTTGAGCTGCCTGGACTGGAATGAGATGACTCGTTCCTGTCCAGCCGTGTCGTCCTGCAGCAATGCACACCCGATGGCGTAATCGGAGGCATCGCAGACGACGCTAAACGGCTTCGTCTCGTCCGGCAGAGCCAGGACAGGGGCCTCTTGGAGACTGGCCTTGATGCTGTCAAAAGCATCCTGGTGCTCTTGCTCCCAGCGCCAGTCGACGTCCTTCTGAAGGAGGCTCGACAAAGGCTTAGCGAAGCCCGCGTACCCAGCGCTGTACTTGTGAAGGTAGTTGGCCAAACCCAACCACTTTCGAAGATCCTTCTGGGATCGGGGCGTCGGCCATGCTGCTATGGCCTTGACCTTGTCTGGGTCAGCCCGAACGCCCACGTTGCTTACGAAGCAACCGAGAACTTTGATCTCTGGTGACGCGAAAACGCACTTGTCGATGTTGGCGTAGAGCTTGTTCGCTCGCATCACGTCCAACACTCGACGGAGGTGTCCTAGATGCACCTCCATGGCCGTCTTGCCTCCCTCGGCACGGCTATGGACGAAAATGTCGTCGAAGTACGTCTGTACGAAGGTACGCAAAGGGCGGAACAATTGCGTCACCAGGCGATTGAACGTCGCCGGGGCGTTAGACAAGCCCTGCGGCATGACGAGCCACTCCCAAAGCATGCCGCTTGGAGTGCTTACCGCGGTGAGCGGGATGTCACTCTCTCGCATCAGGATTTGGTAGTATCCGTCTACCAAATCCAGCGCACTGTACAGTACGCTCCCGGCCATGTTGTTCAACAACACATCCTTTCGTGGGATCGGTGTTTGGGCCGGCACCGTTGCATTGTTCAGCTTGTTATAAGCGTGAACCAGACGCCACTTTCCGTTCGGCTTACGAACGCAGAAAGTCGGCGTCGAGTGCGGGGATTTCGACTCCCGCACCATGCCTGCCTTCGCTTTCGCGGCGAAGAAGGCATCAATGACCTCGCACTGTTCGCGCGGGAGAGGCCATTGCCTCGTGACACAATACTTTGTGCCGGGCACGAGATCAATCTCGTGCCGTACGCCTCGATCCGGTGGGAGTTGGGTCGGTGGGTGTTTATTCACCACGTCCGCATACTCCGTCACCAAAGGATACACCGGATCCTTGGGGTTCTTGAGAATCTCAGAACCCAAGCGCGCCTGACGCTGCTTGTTCATGTCTTCCAGGACGTTCTCGTCCAAGACAGAGGAGGAGTTCAGCTCCTCCTGAGTGGTCTCAGGTCTTATGAGTACCATCTCAGCGATCTCTCCAGCCTTGAGGTTGGCCAGGAAAGACTCAGCCGTCATTTCCTCGAGGTTCAGTATCTCTGCAACCTCTGGCAACTGTTCCAAGTGGACACCAGATGCCTTGACGGGTAAACCCGTCTCGCTATCGAAGATGTGATAGCACTCTTCCACCGGCCTTGTCGGAGGAGCCCGGGCCCTGGACTCCGAGTCGCTTGAAGCGACGTCGATCGGAACGAAGTTCGGATCCGACTTGAGGCGGCGGCGGCGTCTTTGCCGACGGCTTCTGTGACGGAGAGCTTTGCTGCCCACGTCTAGGGATGTCGTCGCTACGACATCCGAGGCACTCGTGGCCTCGTGTGGTACTGTTGTACCCACACCGGAAGCGTGTTCAACGCCTTCCTCTTCAGTTAAGGTCTGGGCAACCGCGTGTGGCACTGAGGTAACCCACACGGGA